AGATGGAGAGTACACTTGTGTTCCTGTCAACAGTTTAGGCGCAGGAAGTAATGCTAGTGTGAGCATCACTTCTGTTGGTGAGTGTAATGTCTGATCTTTTGGTTGAAATAAGTCATTATGAAGTTGAGATAAATGGTGGTCATAAATTATTTTCATATGAGGTTATTAGTTTGTCTAAGCCACTAAGGTTCATGCGAATACTTAGTTTGGGATACATGTTGTTGGTGAAATTATTAGGGCAAATTTTGAGTGAACCCTTTTGTTTTCAAAACCAAGGATGTTCTCGAGGTACAAAGGTGACGTAAAGGAACTTTTAAATTTTTTTTATACCATATCCTAAGAATGATCTTATTTAGTTTCCATTTAAAGGATTTGGGGATTTTAAACATACAAGGTTTACTAAAAGGGTATGGGTAACAACTGGTTAGGGTTTACATCAGTGCATTACTGATATATAAGTACTGTGGTTTGGGTTTTGGTTGTAGTGGTGTGTTTATTGCAAAAAACATTTTAAAGATGATGTGTACTTTGACATATCCTAATTTACTTGTAAGTTCTAATGTCATGTTTGTAGTAATTGCAAAAGATCAATGTACTCATTAACACTCCCAAACCGATGTTTGAAAGGTTTGCTGGCTTTCAGAGGCTAATTGTGCATCCCTAAAAGTCAAGAAACAAAATTTGTAAAGTCACAAAACAAGGCAAATTTTTTATTGAAATTCCTGCTAAAACCCACACTCTAACATTTGTCAACTGGCTTATTCAGTAGCTAGCTAAATTATGAATCCTCTGAGCTACAGATTCACCATTTTGTAGATAGAAATTGAGGAACTCGCATTCATTTGCCATTTGATAATGGCTGACATTGTGCCTTTAATATGTCTTGAATTCATGGATGAAGATGCAGCCATGTCTCCTAAGTTGCATTATTCTAGAGCAGTATGAGATGATTGTATGCATTACGTTACAATTTTAGTGGCTCCATCAGTGGATGTGTCAATCTCTGTGATGGTTACAAAAGAAGGCAATAATATTTCATTGAAGTGTAATGTATCTGGTAAACCTGAACCCAGCATATCATGGACAAGAATTGGTAGTTTGGATGTTCTCTCTGTTTCACCATCACTAACTATTGTGAATGTGAGCAGACCTGGGACAGCAGACAACATGATCCAGTATCAATGCACAGCTAGTAATGGAGTGGAGACACCTGCTACAGCTACAGTCAATGTTACTGTAGAATGTAAGTGGAAATTGCAGTGAAGAGGGAATTTTATATTAGAAATGAAAAGAACACTATATGGCTTGAAATTGATATTTGTGTTAAGCATTCTGATCTCTGGGAAGACAATTTGTGATTGAAAATGTATCTGAAATCAGCTTGCTCTGTATTTGTTCCAAACTCAAACTCTCCAACACTATGTACAAATATACAAGTTATGGTTAGTAAAAGCATTCATATATGATAATAGAAGGGGGGGGGGGAGGAGGGAAGTAGCAGGATGGTTCACTGTGACAAACTTGGTGGCTAATCTCACTATTTCGAAAGCAATTTTACTCTGAAGCATTTTCACTTGGTGTTTTTTCACATTATATTTTGACTCCCACTCATACATGTGGGACAGTTGGGATCCTGCTTAGCTTGCCTGAAATCTCAGGTGGGAGATGGAATTTATGTTGGATAACCTTGAGTCTGGCATGAGGGAAATAGAATCATGTAGTTGCATATGCTCATTAGTACTTAAATTTAGAAGATGAAACAGAATGATACCTGATGAAATGATAATTCACTGACTTGTTCAAGGAAGAGTCAAAACATGAAACAAAGACATAAACTTAGATAATATTTTTGGTTTACATGTATCTTTGAGTTTACAGCTTTGTTTGCATAAATTCTTCAACAACCTAATTTAAGGATTTATATTGCAATTCCTTTTCTGATAGGAATAGTAATAAGGTTATACTACTCTGTAATATATAGATGAACATGTCTTTGCAGATCCACCGCAGCCTTTTATACAACATTGCCCCAGTCCAGTAACTGAAGGAGATAATGTGACATTATACTGCAATGCAACTGGTAATCCATCACCTCAAACAGCCTGGATAAAGTCTGGAAAGGTACTGGTGACAGACAGTGTTCATGTTATTAGAGGAATTAACAGAAGTCAGGCTGGAATATACCAGTGTATGGCTTGGAATGGAATCATGAGAAATGAGACTTCGAACTGTACCATTGATGTTTACTGTAAGTTTATTGACTACCTTGAATTTAATATGAGAGTCTATTTCTGCACATATACTTTGCTGAATGTTAAAGTTTTGCTAGTCTACATTAACTCATTTGTGATTTGATTTTGCTGTCCAAAAGATCCTCAAACATCAACCATGATTACAACTGCTCCAACAAACACTACAGTGCTACGTGACAGTGCTGTGTTACTGACCTGTAATGCAGATGCCAACCCCAGTGTCCATACTTATCATTTGTACTTTAATGGCAACCTTATTGGTAACAGCAGCTCTGGTGTGTTTAACATCAGTGTGAAGGAAGATGGAGAGTACACTTGTGTTCCTGTCAACAGTTTAGG